TGTTGCTTCTCTCTTTCCTGCTCTGAATGCTGTCCTTTGAAGTGCACAAAGTTTTTTTTTTTTTTTGAAGTGCACAAAGTTTTGAACATTGGTGGCATTCAATTTATCAACTTTGTCTGTCATGTGATTTTAACGTGCATTTCTTTCACATATGTGAGGTTGATTGTCTTTTAACATGTTGAGTCTCTTCTGTTATGTTTAAAATACGTTTGGATCTTCTTTTCTAAGAATAGTCTGTTGATATCTTTTTGCTGTCTTCTGTATCAGGGATTGATCTTTCTCTTGTGCAGCTACAGGAGTTCTTTATGTATCAGAAAAGTGATCTCTTGTGATACTCATTGAAAGTAATTCTTCCAATGGGCTATGTGTCACCTTACTTGGGGACATTTTTTCCTTGCAGGTTAAAGAACATCTGTGTAGTTGCATTTATCAACTGTTTAATCATAAGATTCCTGGGTTTGCACCATAGTTAAGAAGTTCTTTCTCATTCTGAGGCCATGATGTATTCCTTCCTGGCATCTTCTAGTCCTTTGGGGTTTTGGTTTTGTATTACATTTAAACCTCTGGTCTGTCTGGAGTTATTCTGGAGTGATAAAGAGATAGGAATTTAATTTTCTTTTTCAAGTGACAACTGGGCTATTTTAATACCATTTATTTCCTTTTATTTTCACACATGTAATATATTTCCAGTGTCCATATGTACTTGAGTATATTTCTTGATTTGCTATTCTTTTTCACTGATGCATCTTTTTATCCATTTGCCTGCATCAGTAGGCTTTTAATAAGTCATGTTTTCATATATGGCTGAGCTGGCTAGTTCCTCCTTGACATTCTTCACCTTCAGCATTTTATGGTTATCCTTGGTTATCTGCTTTCTACCCAAAGTTTAGGGTGACCACCTGTCCTGTTTGTCCTCCCACAGGGCTCCGACATAATATTGTTGGTATTTTTATTTGGCTCCTGTTACATTTATAGATGCTGCTGTGATCTTGAGTATTCCAACCTAAGAACGTGTTTACTCTTGCATTTCTTTGTCTATATCCCTCAGAATTTTTAAACTTTTCTGCACACAGGATACAAATTTATGATAGTTTATTTCTGGGTGCTGTGTGTTTGTGTTGTTGTTTCAAGTGGATTTTTATTGTATTTCTATCCAGCTGCTGCTTGTATATACAAACCTCACAGCAGTCTGGATAGTAATTTTATACCTCCCCATCTTCTCACGTGATTCAGTTGTTCAGTTTGTTCTCTTTGCCTCTCTATGTACAGAACATACCTGAAAAAAAGGATCATTTGCCTCCTCCATCCCACTTTCTTTGGCTTCTTTCTCTTGTCTAGCAGTGCTCAATATTTTGTGTGGGATGATGTTTAACGATAGTGGTGACAGTGGGCTTTTGTGTATTTTTTCTGCCATTAATGGAAATGTTTCTAGTGAATTTAATTAAGCATGACATTGGGTTTTGAACTAAGATAGAAATAATTTTGTTATGCTAAGAAGCACCAGTGCATCTCAATTTTATTTGATCTTATTTTTAATATCAGAATGGATGCTGAGTTTGTAAAATGCCTTTTAACATGCATGGTGATAACTTTTAGTGTTTTCATTTTGATCACCTTCCATGATGCAGGGCCTCCACACATACCCGAACCCCAGTGTTCTTGCATTTCAGAACAATCACTGTCTGACCGTGGTATTTCACTTATGTAGGGGGCCGCGGGTATTGTTGTGCTGCTTCCTGTTTATCCTGAGAATATTCGCCAGCAGTGCTTGCGGCTGCAGTTACTCTGAGATAACTGGCCAATTAATCCTGAACAGACTCCCAAAGTTTACCATAAAATAATCTTGTTTTTATTATTTTCTCGTCGCCCTAACATAGTGATAGTCTTTGGAAACAAAAGGCATCCCAGTTTTTATTAGTGGTCTCTCCACTTATAAAATATAGTAATTCTTGATCGGTGAAAATTAAATGAATAAGCTGCATTTTAAAAAATGGAAAATGGGTTAAATTTTTGCATAAATCCTTGTAAGGGAGATTGATGTATGGTTTTATGCATTTGCATTCCATCTTTTTTGGGTTTGGTGTCCACGTGATGCTGATTGTATCAGAAAGCGTTTGTATTCTTTCTGTGTTAGAACCACTTAAATTCAGCTTCAGACATACACCGTTATAGACTGTGCTCGGTCCACTGTCTCTGCCTGGTCCTGGGACAGCCAGTCCCACCGTTACTTCTAACACTACCAACAACTGCTGAGGCTTCCTGAGGAGCGGCAGTGCCCTCCTGTCCCCCGAGGATGGCGACCCTCGGGAACGGAGGTGCCTGCTGCTGTCTCTGCAGGGCGGGTGAGAGAGCCCTGCAGGCGGGAAGTCGCTGTCCGGCTGCAGACCTAGCATGTGGAGGAACGTGATTTGTGACCCCCGCTTTTCATCTGCCTTTTAAAATTAAGTTACTCTGTGGTCCCCTCGGTTTTCTTGCAATATATTAACCAGATGACGGCAGTTTTCTTTCTAGTTTGACTAGAAAGTAATTTTACTTTTTTAAGGTTTCTCATGGACAATTTAGACATTCCACTAACATTCTTAATCCTATAATCACTACCTTTCTAAACCAACATGAAGCATGTTTGGCTGCCTGCCCTGGACCGGCAAGACACGGCTTGTGACTGGTGATTTAGCTGCAGGGGCCAGGACCTAAATACATACCAAAGTGAAATAATATCACGCTAAAACGACAGTCCCTCAGGGCAGGGCTACCAGACAACGAGGTTGCCACAAGAGGTGATTGAAAAATACAGTGACTATTTAAATTAAAAAAATTATTACAATAGAAGACACATTGCCACAAATCCTCTCCAAATCTCCCCCTTGCTTTGAGCACCCTTAGCCTGTCATTCTTCCTGCTTTCTGCAGCAGCTCTGGGGAGCTCTCGTGAGTGTCTTTAGTTTTGTAGCCATGGCTGCCTCAATGTCCTGAATTGATTCAGAGTGTTGACCTTTCACGGTCATTTTGACTTTGGGAGGAGCCAGAATTGCATGGTGTCAGATGCCGGTGAACAGGTGCGTGAGGACTCAGGGTCATGATTTACAGCCTGCCTTGCCATTGGATGGCGCTCAGCTGCCGTCCCTGGATTTTTGATCACACCTTCTAAACTAGAGTTCTGGGAGAAGGCAGGTGGCAGGAATGTCTGGAGGCTGAGGGGCGGCTCTGGGCTTCTCCCAGGGAAGTGGAGGAAGACCGCTGGGGGCTCAGGGACACACAGGGACTGGGAGAGGCTGCATGGGGCAGTGATGCCAGACCTGCAGCTTGGGTGCTTTGTGTCACTAATTTTCCTACGAAAGAATTGAGGCTGTTTCTTTGTCCATGCTACCAGCAAGGCAGACAGGAACAGCTTCTACAGCTGACCGTGGCAGGGGCAGTGAGCTACGGCACAGGGGTCAGATCTGGTCTGCTGCCCTTTTATTGAAGTAGAGCTGCAAGAGCTTCTACACACTGCCTTTGCTGCTTCTAGGCTGTAATGCAGAGCTGAGGCAGTGAATACTGAGGTGCAATTTTTAAAAAGGCAAATGTTTAAACTTAAAAAATTATTAAAACACTGCCATTAATCCCCAGACAATACCTCTCTCAACTTTGAACACACTTATACCATCATTCTTGTCACTTTGTGAAGCAGTTCCAGGCCCTCTTTCCTGAGTGTGCTCACGAGATGTGATAAAAACATGGTGATCACTGCTGCCGAGCATCCTCCAACACAAAGGCAGCTCCGTAAAATATCGTGGTGTCTTCATCCACCTTATTCACCAGATCTGGCAACTTGTGACTTCTAGCTCTTCACTCAAAGTCCAAATGACCATGAAAGGTCAATGCTTTGAATCGATCCAGGACACTGAAGCAGCCACAACAGCGCAACTAAAGACATTTAGGAAAGAGGACTCCAGAGTCGCTCCAGAAAGTGGCAAGAATGAGGGGATAAGTGTACTTGAAGGGAGGGAGGATTTTGAGGGGGGCTGGTTGATGACAACGTGTCTATGTGTGCACCTTATATATTCCCCAGGGCCCAGAATATTACTATGCAGCCCTTCATGGAAGAAGGTTTTGACCTCTTACTTAAGGCAACTTAAAAATGTAAGTTGAATTCTATCTATGACATAAGATCCCCTTTACTGTATAGCTGCTTTTTAAAAACCTCTTTAGATATTTTCATGAATTCTTCCAGATAAACTTGACAATACATTTGTCAGTGCAAAACGTACGTTGGCCTTGACTGAAACTCTATCAGCTGCACAGAATAATGGAGAGATGAGGTGTGCTTGTGTGTTAGTGAGTGTTTATGTCCAGGGAAATGATCCTTATTGATTCAAAAGTCTTTCATTTTCTTCAATAAAGTTGTCAGTATAATTCTGTATAGCTCTGCTTAATTTGTCAATATAATTTCATGTGAAGTTTATTGTGTTTTCTAGGAAGATAACTCATAATCTGAAAACTGGTAAAATTATTGCTTTAAAATATTTAGAATTCTTCTTAAAAAATTTATTGCATTTGCTAGAATTTCCAAGGAAATACCCCCAGCTCTGGTGGGGACACTTGGAGCTCTGGGAGCTCACCACGTGCAGTCACGGAAGTTTCCAGAGGTGTGAGGGGACCACAGGGTGGACACTGGGGCCCACGGCCGGTGATGGGGAGGGAGGGAGATGAGATGGGACTGCGAGATGGGCAGGGACTCAAGCACTGGGGACTCCTGAAAGCGAGCTGCTTGGAATTCATCAAGCAAACGAGCTCCATGTCTGCTCGCACTGCTTTCAAAGATCAGACAGAAAAAGGACGAATTCATTTTGAAATAAAGCGGGAAGGAAATACAACATTGATGTACGCCCCCCAGCACATCCATGCAAATACCTGTGGGAAGTAACCAAGACCCAGTGACACTTTGCACCCACCACCTTTGAAGCCAGAGGAAACGTGATTATGATATATTTCCATCCTATTTCTCAAGCATATTTGTACCTGTTCTGGGGTCTTGTTGGAAAAAATAACAGCCGACCCTCCGTCTTCTGCCTTGGGGTAGTTAGGAAACGTGCCAGTCAAGTTCCTGCCAGTGGAAAGAAGTCAAATTAAAATAGAAATTAGATCTCCATTAACTGGCTTGCTTCTGCTCACTGAAGTGAGCGGTGTTATTAAGTGTGGGCTCCCCGGGGATTAGGGCCAAATGCGGCATCGTGGAGAAGCCGAGGCACAGGGACTGTGGGGGGCAGCTCCCTTCCCCTGGGGCTTGTTAGTCTGAGACCAGCATCTCTAAGACAGATTACACTTCGCTTCCTCCCTTCCCTTTTTAAAACACTGAGATGCTCTGTGCTTGAGTTAAGAATGAAGACAGAAGCACAAATCATTTCTTCCTGTTTAAAATGTAGGACAAACACGGGGTTTTGAAACTAAACAGAAGGACGGAATGGTGCAAATGGCACATTTATTTAGTGATGTCTGAAGTACATGTACGGGATTTAGGGTTTAGGAAGTCTGAGGCCCTGTGCATCTGAACAGTAATTTTTTTTTTTCCTGTAACCAAGTAATTTCTGCATTGAAAAAGCAGGCGCTGAGATTTAATGTTGGGAATTGCAAAGGGACATGTGGTTAATATATCTAAGCCAAATTGACTTTAGATGATGTTATATTTGCTGTAGATACAGGAAAAAAAGATTACCTGACTCATTCCATTAATTCATCAATGTGTAGAACCTGCGATTTGGAAGAGACCACCGTGTTTAGACCAACTCTACAACAGCGGTTCTCAAAATTTGGTCTTAAGGAGCCTTTTACATGCGATATTTTCTGAGGGTCCCAAAGAGCTTTCATTTATGTGAGTTACAACTATTGATACTTTGATATTTATTAGGTATTAAAACTTAAAAATTTCCCTCCTTCCTTCTCTCCCTCCTCTTCCTCCTCCTCCTCCTTCCTCTCTCTCTCTTTTCTCTTGTTTGAGGCAAGGTCTCCTTATGTTCCAGGCTGGCCTTGAATCTGTCAAGTAAACCAGGCTAACCTCAAATGTGCCATCCTCCTGACTCAGCCTCCCAGAATGCTGTGATTACAAGCATGTGTCACTATACCTGGCTAGAAATTCTGAAAATATATGTTTAATTCATTTAAATAAACACACTATTTGGTGGCATAAATAACATTTTTATAAATAATATATTTTCCAAAGGGTGTAAGTGTTTTTCATTTTTCCCCAAGTCTATTGGTGCCTGGCGGGTTGCTCATCTTTGCTCCTGGATTCCAGTCTGTTGAAGTCTGTAGTTCTGATTGGAGCACAGGCGGAAAAGCCAGCCTCACACAGCTGTGTGAGTGGAAGAGAAAGGGATAGTCTAACAGCCTTTTAGATCAGCGTGCAGAATGGTGTTGATTTGATCCTGCGACGTGGCACTTGGTGGCTTCCGACAGCCTGGCGGTGGTGTGGAGTCTGAAGCAGTAGCAGTGACCTTCGTCTCCCTGTGGAGTGGAATCAACCTGTCTTCTGGTTGTTGCGGAGAGCTCTCAGCCAGGCGTGAGTTTGTAACATTGAGGAAAGTAATGGTCCTGCGCATGGTGAGGTCTTCCTGGTGCCTGTGTGTTTCATCCCTGGAAAGTCACTTTTGTCACTACTGATGGCTCTGCTGAGCTCACTGAGGGACGGAAGGCAAGGCCCAGCTCACACTGCCAGCCCTGGCTCCCTCTGACTGCGCTGTCTCAGATCTGGGCCTCGCCCGTTGAGCCAGGTTTGGGTAAAAACCTCCAAGACTTACACTCAGCGCGACGCCATCTCTTCACATGCCTCACACCACTCCCTCAAATGCACTTTACAGCAACTCGGTCACCCAACTTCATTTTCATATTTTCAAGCTTGAGTGTTTTTGAGGACTTGAAACAGACTCAGTGACATCTATGTATTTTAAGAAACTCAGCATTTACATATGCCATTCAGAACTAGCTTGGCTGGTAATCCCTTTTTTCCTTAATTATGGGACACATTCATCGTCAGTCTAAGATTTAGTGCTATTACATTTCCACCATCATTTTGGCAACATGATCTGAAATGTACTTTAAATAGATAAATGAATACCCTTGGTTGTTCTTGGTTGTGTAAGTTTAAGCTGAAACTGAATTAAAGAATTACAAAACTGTTGTAGAAATCAAATCTAAAAATTTGTATCTAGAAACAGAGAGCCCAGCCAGGCAGCTCTTTATCACACACACCCGTGTCTGTGGGAACACACGCGTGTGCACTGTCGCTCTCTTGTGCTCACACGGCTCCATCTGTCCCGACCTGTGCTGCCCAGGGACCTCTGTCCCCCAGAGTCCCTTCCCTGTGAGCTGTCCTTGGAGCATGCTGAGAGGCTTCCAGCCGGGTTTCTGACTCCCCTCTGTGGCTGTTGGACTGTCTTCAGGGGGAGGTGGCAGCCTGCTGCTCCCATGTCCCTCTCTGTATAGCGGGGACCTGGCATGGAGGGATCAGGCTTGGGGCTCAGCTCCCTGCAGGACAGGACGTGTAGGAGCTGCAGGGGAGAGATGCTGGTAATCGGGGATGGGGACGAGGGAATCAAAAATGTTACCCTGGCTCCCGGCACAGCTGCTGCAGGACAGCCTTGTCTGCAGGTGACGCCCACCTGGGGCTTCCCCAGGAGAAGCCCAGGACCCAAATTACAGGGTGTCAGGGAGACAGCGCTTTTAATGAAAAGTGGAAGCCAAAATATCTGCTTTCTGTGGAATCCGCTCCCTTCAAGCCACCCTGTCCTCCAATGGGTGCTCGCTCACCCCCCACCCTCATCTTCCCCGCAGCCCAGGGTCACCAGGCAGGGCCACCTGGATGCACGGGTGCAGTCTGGAACCCAAGGGCCGAGTGCCCAGACAACCCACGCTGTGCCCGGGGCCGCTCATTGCATGGGCATCGGGCTCTCCACACAACAGCAGTGGCTAAATTGCAAGTGGGCCAGCGCTGGGCCCTGGGAAGTCTGCAACCACGTTCGGGGCCCAGCCTCCTCCGCCAGATCACGTCCCAGGGCCGGCAGGAGACTGCTGCCTTCTGAGACTTCCTCCCTGCCACCCTTGGCCATCTCTCGCGGCCTGGCTTGGGGTGTCCTGGGCTCTGGCTTCACCAGCCTCGCTCTCTTGGGGGCCTCTTTTCCTGAGCTTCCATCCCCTTCCACAGTCCGCCAGTTGGCCACGGCCACTGCCCCATGGGGACAGTGCTCACAAGAGCACTGTGTTTGTGTGCCGGGTCCTGATCCCAGCACCGCGGGTGAGCTGTGACCTTGTTTGGAAAGAGGGTCCCTGCAGATGAACTCAGTTAAGATGAGAGCATACAGTGTAGCGTGGCCTTGATCCAGTACAACTGGGGTCCCGGTAAGGAGTGGGACTTTGGACATGGGGTGGGCTGGTGCGGCAGGGAGACAGCCACCCACCAGTCAAGGAGAGTGCCCCTCAGAAGGCACCAGCCGGGGTCGGGGCTCCAGACTCCAGCATGGAACTAGTTCCTGCTGCTCCGCTCACCCTGGGCTGCAGGACTAACTCACAGCCACCCAGCACCAGCACTCAGTTTAGGGAGGTCCCTGCCTCTGGGTGTGTGGCACTGCAGGGCATGTGGCCTCTGAGGACAGCTGTCCTCACAGGCCACCCTGGCTCTGCTCCCTGGCCGCCTCCTGCCTCTCTGCCCCTGCCTTCTCTGTCCTCTTCAAGCAGCTGCTGCTCTACTTCTGTCCAGGGAGCTCACACGGCGGGCGGGGTCTGGAGGCAGCCTCTGAGGTGTCCATGCACCTTCCTGGTGACATGGTGGGCTGCTGCTCCCCCCCCCCCCGTTCAGGCCTCCCCTGCCCACGCTGGCCCTCGCTGCTCACTCTCCTCGTCTCCCCACCTGTGCGGTGGGGGCTCAGGGCCAGGTCTCAGGCGCCTTCCCCTTCTCGTCTGCCCCCTCATCAGGGTGGCCTTGGCCAGCACATGGCTTTGTGTACCACCGACGCGCTTCGGCTCTGCTGAGCACTCTCTTGGCCCCACCACTCCCCTAACCTGCAGGCTCGTACTCACTGTCCGCCTGACTTCTGGGAGCAAAGCCAAAGTGTCTCAGCTGGGTGTGGGCTGCACCTCTGTGATCCCAGCGCCATGGGAGGCTGAGGCAGGAGGATCACAAGTTGAGCCCAGCCTGGACAACTTAGTGACTCACTGAGATTCTGTCTCAAAATAAAACCTTAAAAGGGCTGAGGACACAGCACAGTGCAAAGCCCTGGGTTCACCCCCAGGGGGAAGAAGGTGCCTCCAGCTCAGGTGTCCCAGACTCAACTCTTAGCTCTGCACCCAACTCCCGCCCCTTCTCCCCTTGCACTCTCCCATCCCAGAAAATGGAAACCCCTTGTCCCAGCCACTCCGAACCCCAGACCTGGCGGCACCTGTGTCCGCCTCTCTCTCACAAGGATGCCTTCAGTCTGCAAGCCCTGCCGCTCCATCTCCCTGGCCTATGTCGAGTGTACGCGCTCAGCACCGCCTGCAGGGATCAGGACACTGCAAGTGCCGTGTGCTGTGTACCCGGATGACCAGGTCTCTGATGCTCCGGTTGGCACTGGGGCCACAGTGGTCTTGGAGAGCATGTGTCACCTCACGCCGAGACTCTGTGCAGAGCTCGCCAGTTCTCTCACTCAGAATGAAACCTCCGTCCATATACTCAGGCTACTGGGGACAAGACCAGCTTAGGTGATGTCAGTGACATGTGCCCTTCCGTTCTCGTTCTCGATGGTGTCCTGGTTTGGACATTAAGTTGTGTGGTTCCTGCACTTAGCACAGCCAGTGTGATGTTTCCTCTGTCACCTCCCTGGCCCCGTCACCCACCCCTGTCACCCTGCATGTCCTGATCCAGCGGCTCTGACCTCCTGCTCCGCAGTCCACCTCAGCCCCTCCTCAGAGGCCCCACTGTGACTGACAAGCACACCGGGTGGGTGCCTGATTCCTGCATGTGCTTTAAGGTCTTGTTTGATTGCTCGATAGCATCTAGAGGTCCTTCCTAACCATCTGTATACAACACAGTTTTTAACCCAACAGCATAGCCTCTCTGGTCTTTACAGCCACAGA